GGTGGCTGGGCAGTGGATGTTGAGATGGCAGGCAGAGAGGCCATTCGATATCGATGTGTGTCATGGGCCTCTGCAGGGGGCGTTGTCTCGTAGTAGGTGCTAGACGGAGCGTAAGAGACGCTGTTTGACGGAGACCGCCGAGCGTCAAATGAAGCATCTGTGGACATGGGCGGTGTGGGTGGCAGTGCCCTGTGTCGAGAAGCTGGCCTGCTCTCGGCCTTGGCATAGGGTCGAGGAGAGCTAGAGTATGAGCTTTCGCTCGCCATAGAGCCAGCGTCGGCGAGGCCCAAGAGGTTGGAGATTGAGGGCAGTGAACATTTCGGTTCATCCATGGGGGGCGAAGGGGGTGATTGGTAGTATCCAGAGTGCTGTGCGCCGTAATGAGAAGGAGATATCATGGAAGTGACCAGAGCCATTGTGTGTGTAGTTGAGAGAGTGAGTAATCAGGGTCTGTGCAGCCTCGAGGCTCTGCTGTACACACGAAGTGTGTTGAGTGCTGAGCAGTTTGAGAATGGTTCGTAATGTCCTCGAGTCGAGAGTCGTCGACCGCTTCGACTGTAGAGCAGGCAAATTTGGAAGTGGCTTGGAGGTTATTTGCGAGTAAGGAGGTGTGAAAGAGGTCCGTCGTAAAGATCTTCGATTCAAAGAGAACAAGACTCAGCTTTGGAACCAAGATGGGGGCTAGAGATGCTATATAAGTAACTTGAGCCGCCAGTAGAGAGACTCGAGTGTGTTTGGGTGTGGAGCGGCATATCAGATCTGTCTTCCGTCGACATTAAGTATCCCACACAACAGACTAGGAAGTGCCCCGGCGCCTTGAACCCATCGCAGATATTGGGAGTGGGCCAACCACCCTCCCCTGTTTAGAAGCTATCATCCCAAGGAAAGTCTGGGACCAAAGGCCAATAACTTGTAAGCCCGGCCGTCTAGCAAGAGGAGCGCCTGAATAATGGGAAGCGGTGCAAGCGGGCGTACTACCAAAGGGTGTGTGTGGAGAGCATTGAGGCTTTCGGAATTGAGTCTGCTGCGGGAACGTTCCAGGTCAAGGGGAAAAGGGGGGAGTGCGGATAGCAAGCAGGGATGCGGTTGGCGCCACAACGCGAGGGTGTCTGAGGTGGAGGCCTGGTTGGTCATCCTCCCTGACCGGGACCGCGGATAGAGATCGTAGGCGTGGGTGGTATTGCATGCTAGCACAGCAGCGGTGGCTTGACGGAGCTCCAGGGATTGTCATCAGGGATCATTGTGTGGTCAAACGTCGTGGACAGGGTGGATCAGCGTGTACGGACAAGACTGTAAACGTGAGCAGCCAGCGCTGGCCATAACCCTGATCCATACCCGAGCGCCATTCAACCTCGTTTGGCAATTCCTTCGTTTTCAGCTTCTGGATGACGAAGCAGCTCGTGCTAAAAACAGCGCCCGCTGGTTTGATTCGTGTCAACTAACTTCCGGCCTTCCACCGCGTCTCGGCGGCCATGGTCAGGTTGGACATGGCATTGCATATAGGCCTATATCTAGGTAGCTTCGTTTAGGATTGCAGTCGTCAGTGCCACGGACTCCTGGTCAAGCAAGCTGCAATAGCTGCGATACTATTCGCCGGCGTCTACAAGAAACTCGGGGCCGCTCTGAGAAACCGCCCCGCGTCGGATATCCCCCCCCTTGGAGCGACCTAACACAGCTTGAGACGATCTACGACTCGCGGCAACGCGGATCATTATCCTCTGTCAATGGGTTGTCAGGTTGATCTCTTGCATTGCTTTATTGCATCCTCAGTGTGATGGTAACAAGGTGACACGCCAGGACCGAGAGGCCTGACTAGTAACGGCGCTGGGTTTGTTTAATATAACACTAGCCGTCATCGAGGCGTCACTAGAGCCAACGAAAATCTCGATCCAGTACGCTGACACGGGCTCCCCAAAAGCAAAGCAAAGAAAATTGAAGAGAAGAGAGCAAAATAGAGAGCAAGCGAAGCCAGGGACGAACAGCATTCCGGTCGGCCCACGGCTTCATTGTTTGATATTGCGTGAGTGCCTGATGTGGTATCACGATTGCCACGCCCTTTGACCGACTCGTGTACTCGATCCAGCCGCAGGATGCGAGGAGCGATTTCCCTTCGGTGAAGCAATCTGCGGTGGCGGTCCGAGAATGACATCGGCAAACTTTCGTATGGAACTCCTGCAGCGCGCCGGCTTCATCTAGAGCACAGCAGCATCAGCTAGCTTCGTTCTAGGCTCTTCCCAACTCGCTGTCCGCGCTAACACGCTCCTCAGTCAGTGCTAACTGGTGGTCTTTCAAGCGACCAGCGCCGGGCGGGCATCACCTCGTGGCGTGGCGTCCTGCGCTGCTGCTAAGTGCGCCTCGCTCTCACGGTACAGGCTAATTAATGATCGTCGTGCTAGCAGAAGCCCTGTGAGCAGCCAGTAGATTTTCATCGAGTTGCGTGATTCTCCAGCTAAGCCTGTTTGACGCAGGCGCCACTCTCTGAGACCCTTGTTCTGGCAGAGGCGTGTCATGATCTACCCAGTATCAAGGAGGGCTAATGGGGCCAGGGGGTTAATTTGCCTTTCTGTTCCGCAGTGGAGTAGCATTTGCATATGCTTGAGCTTCTCTCGGCCGTATCCTTCCCCGACTAAAGCGTCTGGCTGACCGATGCGTCGTTGGACGATTCATGCTACACAGTCTGTCGTCATGACTACGTTCTGCCTCTCTATAGCTTTGATGCACTTCCGCCATTGTCGACCCTCAAAGGACTACAGAAGAAGATAAAAGGACGCCATCTTCAGCCCAAGCGTGGTGCAACACGGCCACAGCCTCAGTAAACTCTGTACAGGATTATACGAGTTCTGGTATATGTGTTGGTGCGTATCGGCGTACTACTGTAGCGTCCAGGAACGGCGTAGCAGCTCGTCGGCTGCAATGTTCGGCTACCAGCTAGCCAGTTAACCACTGTCAATGGCCATCGGTTTCTTAGACTTCGATGCACGCTCGCTGCTCCATACGAGATATGTACATGTAGACTTCGACTTGAGCAAGTTGGAAAGCCATGTCATATGCCACGGTATTGCCTCAGGCCGGCCCTTCTCGAACAGTTGTCGATCGAATTTCCTGCCTGGCAGTACAAGTATAGCAGCGACATCACACCCCTTGACAAGGGGTAAGCTCTCATGGCCGTCAGTTATTACGGGTCATTCCAAATTTGCCAAGGTGCACACGTCCGCGTGGAGCAAATCTGGGTCGTTGAAATGAGATGGTAGATGTCAAGATGTTCTGGAAGGTTGAAGCCCCAGTCCAATAGCTTCTGATTGAAGCCTTTCGCTCAAGGAATCGAGACGGGGCGTCTTCATCAGCTCGTATACATACCTCATCGCAAGAAGGTGAGCTCGAAGAAATGATATGTCTCAATTCGATCCCGAAGTGATCGCCATGGTAGAATGCACTCGGTGCGTCATAGATGGCCAGCCGGCTCATACCTCCAGGCCTATTCAGCCTGGAAAGTGATTTACTCTGTAAATGAGCATCCTCCGCGCACTCGTCGATTTCTTAACATTTTTGGTATTTGGCCGAGAGGATCGAAAACTTCTTACGACCTCCGTCGTACCTGAAGCACTCCGTACTGTGCTCCTTGCTCCGCACCAACTAACTCTGCTTGGCACGCGCCGTTAGCAGGGCTGCGTTAGTGGCTATAGGAGCTATTGGCATCGCCTATTGCTGCCGGTGAAGTCGTGAAACAGTAGTAGGACACAATCCCCAAGCCTTTGATGCCTAGGAAAGGGTCTGCCTTTGTCTTCTTTGGCATATGTCCGCGGTAGTCCTGGCCGTATTCCGCATTGGTGAGGCCGTGGAGTTGGCATTGTCAGATCGCCTGCCTCCTTCGTCCAGTCCTCGCGCACGGCAACTGATCAACGTCGAATTTAGGCATGAGGCATCACTCCACACGATCTGCCAATGGGTGATGTGCAATTTGGCAGGGCTGGGCCAAGTGATCATCCCTATTGATGAACCAGGCCTCCGAGAACACGAAGTTTATGAAGCAGCGGCGCAAGACAGGAGCAGTTGGCAGTTGGCAGGGCAGGTTCCAGAAGATCTACCTCCATGACGAATGACGACCCCCCTGGCTAGCTAGTGCCGGGGTAGACTTCCAGAATAGTTTAGGGGGAGCTGCCGTTGGGTGCGCTGATCAGCAACGTGCAGGAAGATCCTCCCGTCCGCCAGTATCACCCATGGACGCTATCGTTGCTGCACACCTTGGAAGCGGTTAACGCCCGAGCTCCATATAATCTAAGCATGAAGCACTTGCGGATGCCAATATCAAATGAGAGGCCGGCACAGGTGGTATCTGAGCTCATCACCAACAACTTGGTCAGCCAGATGGCAAACAATATCGCCTGCTCGCCAAACTCGCTATATCCAGCTTAGTCTTGTGTATTTCACATGCCGACTATGCCCGAGCCTATCAAGAACAGAGGATCGCTCCGCCCAACCGACGGGAAGGCGCCGATGCTAGCTTGAGGCCAAATGAGCACTGTCCAACCTCGTGCAAAAAGTCTCCAGGATGATCCTCAGACGCAGTTGGGTGGTGTGGTGATCTGGCGAGAAATGGCGGGTGCGCTGCACGATAAGACCAGGCAAGGCTGCGATGATGGAGCGGTGGCAATCATATCATGCCGGCTAATCAGCCATCGGCCCCTGGCGGCAGCATATAGTACACGTCCTGCACTGTAGCCACGGCGACTGCTCGCAGCACTGCGACGTTCTGATTGCGCTTTGCAAGGCTTCGATTTGCTGTCTGAGATGGGGCGTCATCTGCATGCGGCATGATCCAGCATGTGACAAGAACTAGAGAGTGGTGTGCAAGCAGGCATGGATATTAATTCATCTATCCTCTGCAGTCCTAGAGATTAGAAAGAGATTAGCAGCCAGCCGAGGTAATAGGTACTGCTTGTCCGTTGGATCTCATCAACCGCTCCCTGCAAGGCGTATCAATACGACCTCCCTATGCTCCGTCAGGTAGAGGCCTTTGCTTTGGAGTCATTCTCAAACTGCACATGTGATGGCGTAGATTCCATGGTGGTTATGCGGGAGGTGGATGTCACATATTTGCGGAACTGTTGTGGCAGGGTGAAGATGGAAGGGAAAAGAAATTCAAGAGCAGCAAGAGCTTCGCCAGCAATTTGGGAAGCCTGGAAAGTTACCTGGTACGCTACAAGTACGCGGTGTCCTAGCAGCAGATCAGCGTCCCAGGCGGTCGCGCTTATGTACCTTGCTAGGGCCTTGATACGTGTATGGCTTTAGCGGACTGCGGCCTTGTTCAGCGCGCTTACTTTACTACATGTCCGATGGCAGTTGCGCGGCATCTTGACATGAATCTCATTGATAACTTCAATCCCACTGAGAGATGCTATTTGCAGAGTATTCAGAGCTTCATTCCAGGTCTGAGCCAACGGCCAGCGGAGTGCGGCGAAACTTGCCGTACTTGTCAACTCGCCGCAAGGAGTCGGGATCGTCGCCGCATCACGGGGAGATAATAACGGTTACCGGTAAGCATCAATCCTTGCAAATATGCATGCATGGGTTTCGGCTGCTGCGACCGAAGTGCCATTAGAAATCGTCTCATCTTACTGTGCTCCGTGCATGTGCTGTAATATGTTAGTAATGGGAATACGTTTCCGGCATATAGCCAAGAAAAAATAGGACCTGGGGAGCAAGCACGCGACTAGTAATAGCTACTATTTTCTATGCGATAAAAAATAGGTAGAGTAATGCTACTGCGATTACAGTAGAATTCCCTAGAATTTCGTGCAGAGCTAATAGATATCATTTTACTACGATATCCCATTTAGGTATTTGGCGAACGTAGATCCAATTGGCCTACCATGCGCAAACGCGTTTGAAGAACAGCCTCTTCTCCTGGTGAGCATTGGGTAATCTCGCTGTAATTACTATATAGAGTATAAATGATGATATTGAATGTATAAGATTACAAAATATCTTCTCATTATGGCTCACGCTCGGCAACAATCAAGCCATGATGCTACTATTTTGCCGTTCTGTAAAGCTGTTACTGCCTCTCCATAGTATAAATGATCACCATATTAGTCTGAGCGTCTCATTGTCCTTCAAAGGCCAAGAAAATCAATCATGTAGGCTTGATCAGTAGGTTAGATAATAAGACGCATATCACATGACTCGTCGGTCGCCAGACTTGGCCACCGCGATGAGTAGCCCCTGAAGTATATTCAGACTCTTCTACTAATAGTATTACCCTCGTGCGAACGGACGAAGCCATGCTCCAAAGATTCCTCACTAAATATGCCTATAGAGGGTAATTCATCTTAGTTACAAGATGAGGACCCTAAATATGAGTTATACTTGACAGCTTAGCTTCCAATATAGGGTGCGTCGATGGTTATATTCTCTGATCGGTCGTAGAAGGTGTTGCCTTGGAGGTCCAAGATGCCTATTGCTTCAAACAGTCCGAACATTCCATTGAATTTCCCGAATCGAACAAGTCCATGCCCCTTCCTCGATTGGGTATTACTTACGCGAATCTTCAACACCCACCATCCATTGCTTGGAGTATCTCTTACCGCCATCGTGAGCAGATGAACGTCAATAACCGGAAATAGAAACTACTCGATTCAGCCGTCGGAAGAGTTGCTACCGAAAGACGACCGGGTGTGGGGGCGTAAGCTTTCACGTACAAGCAAAAAGACAACCTGATTTTTGCCTTATTTACCAGCATCGGGTTATACCCTGCCTGCGGGTCTCTTGGCTGGGCTGAGCGACTGTCTGCGCTCACGGACATTTCCTGTACGTGTGATATTATAGGGCAGTCATTCTTGTCTGCATTGGTAAACCATGGAATCATCTCACTATCCGCCAGGATAGACCTATCTTGTGCATGTCACTGAGCAGTATTCCGTTGGCTCGGTAAGATATCAGCATGGAAACTGCCACCAATAGCGAGAACACAGATACATTCTCGTACCAAAACCGATATGTTGTACATACACAATGCCGTCTTTCGGCTCATTGCAAAAATTTGTGCCCATGAGATGAATTTGAAACAGACCCACTGGTCCATCCCTATCCCGGACTGTTCAGAAACCTGCCGCAGCGGCAACATTTGTTTCTTGACAGAGAGGGGCTCTCCGCCGTGTACTCTGTATATGTACTGCACGTATATAAAATTCGATTGCCATTTTCTTTCTCATCCCTGCCCCCTCACCTGAATCCAGGCTCTCATTTCTCTATCCCAAGGCCATGGGAGCAGCTGGTGGCAGGCAAGGACAGCTAGCGGGCTGCTTCGGAGCCCTCCGTTTTGCGACTAAGATCCCTCCCCACTGTCTCGACGATCAGCCGGGATACTCCCTGCTCTATCCACGCGACGAGTGGAGAGTTTCACCAGTGGGCTCAGCAGTCCGGTGGCACGGATTGGGGGGGTGGGCGTATGGCACAGCCTCCAGTCCTGCGCCGTTTGCTGTGAAGCGGCCATTCCAGCGGACTGCTTGTGGGATGAGCTAGCTTTTGTGGCTGTCGACTGTGCTTGTTAATCCGGGTTAATTCTGAGGTCGGGATACCGACAGCGAGGGAGCTTTTGGGCGCCGGCGTTTTCGCTTGATGACTGGGGGGCCGTTAGCGCTCCTTTAGTGTGTGAGCGTGTGAGCATTTCGGACGTACAAGTATGAAGACCTGTGCATCGGTGTATGGAGTAGCAAGCATACAAGTACAAGGCAGATTTAACTTGAATGCCAGGAGTGTCAAACCCCCCAGACGACGCTAGCTTTGCATGCTTTCCGTATCGAAATCCATCATTCATTGAACCCACCGTTCATGGACGGAGAACACCCAGTTGGGGTAATAGCTCGATAGAGCGGGCGTTGTTTCTGCATGACAGGACAGGGTTACACGATTCGGGTGCTATCTTTGCAGTGCTTCATACTCGTACATCTACTAGAGCCCAATTTGCTTACCCCTCCATGTTATATCGAATGTCATATTAGTGCCAACCAGCGAGCATTTTGTCACCATGAAGAGACGAGTGTACGTAGAAGAGTATCAATAGTGTCGGTTTTTCTGATGACGCCGATAATATCTGTGAGTCTATATGCCGACAAAGGGACTATGAGCTATCTTTGGCGTATCAGTAGATCCATGCATCTTCTATCTTGACTTCAGTCGGCAGACAATATATCCAATGCCAAGACCGCTACCCCAAAGCATGCTTTTATAAATCTTACGGCACTTGTAAAGAACAGGGATAGACGGACATAGAGCTTTGAATAGGTATAGTAAGCGCGCAAAACATGTTCATTCTGCATTTATGATATGTGATGGTGGATGAACTCGCGCCTGTGGACTTTGCTGCCGTCATAAACGCGAGAAGCGAAGTGCATGTCCAATCTTGTAAGCATGGGTGAATAAGTTCAGTCCATCGTATGCTTTGATAAAGAATATTGTGTCTTGATTCATCTTGCTTGGAAAGGGTCAAGTAACAAGTATTCCTCTCTCATATCATGAGCAATTTCATCTCCCGGTGGAATTAAAGATTTTGATGTCCATAAGTAGCGCCTATATGTCAAGTCCGGAGTCAAGCGTTGTACAACCATGAACTGATGTTATTGAGACGCCTGGATTTGCCCATAGCTTTAGCAGCCGAATATAACCAAAGCTGTAATATTTGCTTCAATTACCACCAAAAAGGCCTACCTTAGCAGTATTCATTTTCTCCTACATTATATATACCTTGTATATGCTATTTTACTTGTGGCATCGAATGTGAGATAATATTTGAAGTCAATATAGGTAGCTACAACCGATCTCAACCATTCTTGCGACTCATTGAGAACTTGTTTAAGCTCTGGCTTGTTTGCTTTATACACGGCATCTTATTTGTCATACACCGGATACAACTACAGGCCTCAACCGCAAACAAAAATAAAAGCGAAATGTAGCAGTGTGAATAAAGAATTAAATTGATGCTTCTAGCAAATAGTTACCGCCCAGCCACACTGGCATATGTCAAAGTCCTCAGGCATGGTAATCGTGAGACTCAGAGAAAACATGAGAATGTCATTCCCATTGCTCGCTGCATGATCCGCGCAATGCATATTCAACTAAAAATTGATTCTCTTGTTATTATCATTGTAAATGATCTCTACAGTTCTGCAGAGAAGTAAGACTTGTAGGAAAAGAAAAGTTGGCGGTGATTTCACTAGACTTGTTTCTTTGTGCGGCGGTACAACACACACACGAGCATCATCACTAGTAACAAATACGTATCTGATCTGGATAGTCTAATTAGCGTACATGGCCCCGGTCAATACTCTTTGGAATTAAAATGACTCTTTTCTGTTGCCTCGCGAGACTTCAATTATACCTGAATGGAAGAGACAGCAAAGACTACAGGGTTGGTAGAGCGCAGGGTTAGTCTGCCCAAGTACACTAGTGTTTTGATGGGGAAAACTGCCAAGTTGCAAATCAATGGATCTAGTCTCCATGATCTGGGCTGGGCTTCCGGATTTTCGGTTTCCCGAGGTGAGTGAAGGGGGACATCAGATTGGCCTACATAGGGCCGTTTATTTAATCCTGGCTAAGCTAGGCCAAGGACCGCACGCTTGAACGAATGCGTACTAACATTGATATATATTCGGGATCAACATTGGATACATGTAGCAACAGCAAATTCTTAGCCTTGTCCAAGGCTCACGCCCCTTTCATTGGGAAGACATGTCAGCAGACAGATCGCCGATGGCAGTAAGCACACCCACTGGTGGTTAGCAAGGTACCCGTATTATACGACACGTTCGTGCATACGCCAAGTGAAGCGAATAGCATGGCCTTTGACAACTAGTAAAAGCTTCGGCATTGAGACCTTGCCAACTGTATGTAGAGTTGGGCGATTAAACAGCGGGCGACACTTTTACCATCATTTCCACATCAAGACAAGCCGTCGATTTCACGATAAGGAAATTTGGAAACAAGGACAAATCCGACGGCAAAAGCAATTGATGATCTCGGGCACCACTACGGGGACTTTACCGGGCACCACTCCGGGGATAGTATTGTGACAAGTCGACTTGATTGCATTTGGCACCCCTAGTGCCGCAGTCCGCTTGTTATCGGACTCATTTCCAACTGGTCCGTTTGCTGTATGATGTCTCGGCGCAATTGGTTGATTCCTTGCAGGAAACCGTATCGCGTCATGCACCGTTGGCTCCTCGGCGACCATTTGCGTGAACCATGTCATATCATATGTAGTATATGAGAGGCAGCCCAAGAACCCCAAAGTATAACAAGATTACTCATAGTAATCTGACAGCGCCCAGGGGTATGCCTTTTGCCGCATAAACTAGCACCATGAAAGAAGAGGTTAGTAATTACTTTGGAGCTGATTCTAGTAGACTTGTCAAGTCCGGCAGCTAGCATGGCAGGGCTTAGAGTGATCTTCGGGCGACAAATTGAGTTATACATACGCAGTGGGAGCGACTATCATATATCATTCTCCTCGCTGTAACTTTCTCTTGCGGCAAGTGATTTGAACTAAACGGCGATTGAATTGCCCTGGGGAGTCAAAATTACGCAGTCTCGAGGTCAACCAAATAGCCGTTTCAGGTGATTGCTGTTGGATGCAAGATGACTGCAGCGTTCGCCGGGCGTTTGACTTCATCGTATATTAACGTGTAGAATCATCAAGGGGTATGTCGAACTCGTGGATATCCTACGTGGGGTTTGCTACGCATGGGAGTCTTGCGAGAGAAGGGTTGGTCTCATTCTCAGATGAGAACAGGCTTTGTGTGATTTTGAGTACGTTGCTTTAACTCTGTTAGTTGTCAATGTCATTAGCAACTCTTAAAACTTACAGTGTACGTATGGTGGGAGCCTTAAGGCGTCTACCATAGTTTGGCAATATGAAGATTCACGGATGATATTTATGATAGCACGTAAAGAAAGGGTATAGGTATGTTTGATGAATATGAGATCGCCGAGTTCGCATGCAAAGTTGTGTGCAAGTAGGCCAGTCGGATGAACAAATGGTGGAAAATAAGCATTGGTATCTCATTAAGCAGCGGAGGATATAACTCCAGTTGTCATCTTCATGAGTGTATCGAAGAAGTTCGGTAGAATATATATAGAGAGAGTATATGCTGAGAATGAGGCGCAACCAGCGAGTTAGATGGGATGCTATGTGATAAAATGCAAGTGAGTGGCTGCGATATTCCATTTCCCGACAGTCTATTTAGACACCTGGCAGCTATGACGTCCAAGACTGAAGTCAATGAGCGAGGTGACATAGATGGCTAAACGTCGCTTTCATCATGAATTCTTCTTTTTTCGGCTAAGAACTCACATATCATTATTTAAAGCCATGTGTTTTATGTAGAGTCTACGTTTTGTAAATCAGCGATGAGCGATGGTCACAGACTGCAGATTAGCGAGAATTAAGCCTCCAGAATGTCAAGACACTACTAGTTGAGTCTATCAAGGCATGCGTACCTTGCTGTTTATAGATACAACTCCATAAGGTAGATATCCGTTCAATAGCTTTGATCTGTAGTCGTCAATAGTTTACTCGCCTTCATGAATGTTTGGTCTCGTGCCCACTTGTACTCGTGTACATGTGCAGAGGTACTCAATAATGTCCCCTAAGCAGCCACATTTAGTTTATTTTACTGCTTAAATGGAAAAGAAGCTTCGAAGCAAGTCTCTAGTTGCATTCGACACCTCTTCTTTTACCGCATTCATGGGATTCCGACCTTCTGGTATATGAGCCTACACGCCGCCACCATTAGTATTTCCCATCTCATATCCGTACAGTCATTGGAACTGTTCCAGCGACTAATGCCGCTAAAGTAGGCCCAACAGGCGTTCGGAGAATCGGGCCTCTGCTCCGGCGCGACTCTCCCGAGGCCTCTACTGCACGAGTTGCGCCTTGGCTGCCGGCCTCGGCCTAGCGCTTCGTTGTCATCACCACCATGTCGTCGAGATTCCCAAACGGCTGCTGCAAATAGCCAGAGCAGCTCTCGCTCTGCTTCGAACCGCACCGCCCTGGCATGCCTGCTGAATCCTGTTGCTCGCCCGGCGGCCCCATCCAACGGTCTGCAGAAGCGTCGCCATGGGCTCTGTGCAACCGCCTACGAAGCCGTGCCACAACTGCCGTCGGCAGAGGCTCCGATGTGATCGGTCGTACCCACACTGCAACAAGTGTGCCGCCTCGGGCAAGGAGTGTCTCGGCTATGGGAAGCTGTTCCGCTGGACGGGCGCCATCGCCAGCCGCGGCAAGCTGGCCGGCCGCACGTCGAGCGCGCCTGTAGCGGCTGAGGCCGAGGACGGGAGCGATAGATTTGCTGATGAAGTAGATGCTGATAGAGAACTGGATGCTGAGGCCGGGACAGAGGCCGGGACAGAGGCCGGGACAGAGGTCGGGACAGAGGTCGGGACAGAGCCCCCGTCGCCGGCGCTGGCGGTGGCAAAGGTGCGCTCCAGGAGGAGCTCGTCCATGTCTGCCCGAGTCTCTATAATCCCATGGAATGGCCATTACGGGAGAAGAATGTCGGCCGATGCAGAAATACCACTGCCCACGCCTTTGCCCAGGTCTCCCCATGCCAAACCAAGCAGTCCTTGGGTGCTGGCCGACCCTCTGTTCCAGGATCTGAACCAGTCTGACCGGTTCTATCTCAACTACTGTGCGTTCAAGTCGGACCCTGTCTCTTCTTTCCAGCTTATATTGTGTGGGAGTCTTGACTAACACGTCACTTGCAGTCACAACCCGCCTGTGCAAAGACCTAGTGTCCACCGACGGGCCAGAGTGCAATCCTTTCCGCAGCCTTATACCGCTAACCCGTGCTCATCCACTGCTGCAGCACATCATCGTCGCGGCCTCGGCGGCTCACATGTCCAACTTGATAACCATGGGTTTGCCATATGATGACAGCGGCCTCGTAGCTGCAAATCAGAGCGCGGCTTCGAAAAAGGCACTCGACGATGCGCTGGTCGCCAAGCACACCGCGTTGCGGCTAATGTCTGCTGCCATTCAGAACCTCGATACAATGAATGGCGATGTCGTGCTTGCAGCCTCGCTCTTCTTCATCAACGTAGAGTTGATTGAGTCTGGAAAGCATGGTTGGAGAGCGCATCTCGAAGGAGCGGCAAAAATCATGTCCTTCATACAGCTCACCCAAGCGTGGGATAGCTCGTTACGGGACTACCTCCTCTCGGACTGCTTTATGTGAGCCCTCTCCTTCATTTTCTTTCTCATGCTCTCATCCATTGCATTGTCATCGCATGAACAATATCTTCATTTGCTGACTGCCATTTGCAGCTACTTTATCCTCGCCTCGGCATTTATGCCAACACGATACGCCACGTCTTTGAGCTTTGAGTATTCACAGATTCCCTTTGTGCTTGGCAAGACGGTTGCGAATAGCTACTTGTGCTGCCCGCCAGAACTGATGGAAATCTTGCACACTGCCTCCCAGCTTTCGAACAACGCAGTTGACGATCAGCCCAACGAGGAAATCACTCTGGCTGCTACAGAGCTGGTCAAACGCGCTCAAGCCTATGACATCTATGGGTGGGCTCGCGACACGGCAAAAGTCCTGTCTTTATCAAATGAGTCGATGCAAAGCCGCATGCACGCAGGATCAGCTCATCGCTTGGCTGCTTGTATATACATTTTGCAAGCCGTACCGTCTGTCGGAGAGAGACTCGGCCCAGAATTTGTGACTTTCCTCACTGATGATTTGCTGGCACACCTGAATATGATTCCTGTAGAAGACCCCAACTTCAAGGCCACAACGTGGCCAACCTTTATCATTGGTGCAGAGACTAGGAACCCAGAACGACAGAAGCATATCATGGAAAGACTACGGATAATGACGACAGTATGTCCATGGGGCTTCATCCATACCGCCATGGAGACGCTCCAAGTTATCTGGAACCTAGCGGCAGAGGAAAGGGGGTCGAAGAGTTGGGTCCAGACGCTCAGAGACCCAGAAATGAACTTTTTAATCGTTTGAGAGTCGGCCTCTGTCGCAGAATCGAGAGAAGACAATTGAGAGCATGAGCTAAGGATGGTACATTATTGGAGGGTTCTTTCAACATCAGTTCAGCCACACTACCCAAGATCCTTTCATCATTTTTCTTCATATTGCTGCCTATCAATCCAATCTATGACGGCTTAAACTAGGGCAACAAGGTTAGCATCACCCCACCTCATAGCTTTCAGCTGTTCCCGGATGACTCATCGTGAAAGAGGTAGACTTGGCATCACTCATTATATATCTCTACTGTCTTGGACCAAGCTTGTTGCAGCTCTTTTACACCGATACAGGGACATTTTGAACTAGTTAAACCAAAGCATGGAACCTATGTGGCCGGATTTGCTACTACCTACCTCACCATCACGGCGATGCCTTGATCGCTTCAGCCTCCTTGATGAGGAAGGCACGGATGGTTTGGTAGCGTTCTGGCCGTTGCTTGAACATATACTTAGCCAATCAGTCAATACCTTGGCTCAGCTTATAGATGTACTCGATACCATCGCTCATGTGAACAGTGGCTCTTCTGGGACAGCAAATGACTATGGATTACTCAGGGAAGCTGTGGAGCAGCACAGCGATACATTCTTCTCACGATTATGGCCAACTATTGTCCATATAGCTCTGATGCTACCTGATTTGTTTCCGGCACGAAAGATTCCTGTACTGCAACCAGGGGAGAAACTATGTCTTACAACGAAGGAAGTCTCATGCCTTGTGGCTCACCAGTTTCTCTGCACATATCAACTTCCTCCCTGGCGGGAAGGACATCACGACTTTAGCATTTGGTATGGATCTGGACAGCGGCATCCGCAAGCAGTACGAATGTATCTCACGGCGCTCTTTTCATATTTTGACGAATTCTGTGCAGAGTCACGGATGAGGAACGTCGGAGCCTCTCTTGATGGCCATGTCGAATTCTCTTTACATACTTTCGACGGTCCGGAAACCTGTTTAGCGTGGAAATTGGATCAATCTCGGTTGATGAGACTGATCGTTGTCCATCTGGAAAAATTCAGCACCGAGCCACAGGAAGCTGCCTACCAAGGGCACAGTGGCGCAGCTGTGGTCTCTGCTAATAAGGATATCGGTTTTGGACAGTCAGCGACTCAAGAGGAGTTATACGTAGGTAACTGCCCCGAGGCTTGTCCCGCAGTGCTGTTTACACCCACGCTGCAAGATAACCAAGTGCTTGTTATTCATGGGGCACGCCCTATGCTGAGAATCTTTGGTCAGCGTCGTGATATTGTTTGGGAGAAACTTGTGTCAGGGGAGAAGCAAGGAGGTCGAATGCTGCTTATGGACGCGCTGGAGCTTGACGAAGCAGAAAGCTCTACAATGTTACCTGATCTGAAACAGGAAAACCTCACACGAGATATTCGAAAGGCGTATACGGCGTATTCATCATGGTCAGATGGTGCGAATCCGATTGTGTGGACGGGACTATGGGGCTGTGGTGCCTTTAACGGCGACCCGGCTACTAAAGCAATTTTGATGTGGATGGCAGCTTCATTGGCCGGTAAAGAGCTGCGATTGCTCGTTGATGCTTCTCAGAAAGATTTTGGTGTAAAATTTGGACAGTTTATCGAAAGAGTTCAGGGGGCTTGGACTGTAAAGGATCTTTATAATTGTTTGAAAGCCATACCCGAGGGAATTGGGCGTTGGGAAACAATGGATTGGTTACTTGAAAATGTATCTGAGCGTTTGTAGGGGTAATGATACCATGATACGATACTATAACGCTATATCTTGCTGATATCACATTGAATAGTAAATGTCTGCCAAGTAAGTACCAAGAAACGATATTCTTGTGTCTCATTATAACTGGAAGTTATCCATCTCAGTACTATATTCAGTATACTCAGATATATAGCACCAGCTAACAGTTTCACTATGTCAAACGGTATTTCTTCGCTAGCTTCTAATAACATTCCCTTCTATTGGCTTTACCGAATAGCCCATGGCAGCCATTGGGCTGGTCGACGCATTTTTTTTTTAATTGGTCGCGGATACTTGACAGTACTGTCTTCTTGTTCCGCAACAACATTTATGTTGCAGATGACATAATAATCAAGCCGTGTTCGTGATGAATGTCACTTCTAATACTACTAGGTAGAAGATGTCTCTTTATAATTCGTCCAAAGAGCTGTTCATTGTGCCTTGATTGGCTCTCATCAAATTCAAATCATAGTTTAGCTTATCAAATTGTATTGTGACACTTATGTCTTTATGCTGCGGAAAAGTCTCTTGACGAGGACCTATCTGTATAGAGCTTGCTAAATACGGCACAGAAAGTTATTGAGATAACCTGTGGTTTCTTTCTCAAATCGCGACTTTGTTCGAGCTATATGAGTATTCTAGGGGCTCAATTAAAAGCTTCGTGGCTTGAATTGGGACTCTATTTTAAGATGGATAGAATTACAAGTGATGTCTGTCAGTATATTGTTGCTACATAGAATACGCCATATCTCGACTAGTTGATAGAAGTGCAGGCTGATACAGTCGATTATTTAACATCTTAATCTTGGGAGGTCTGATGCATAGAGATGCACATGTATAATAGACTACGTAGCTTGATACTTTCCTTTTGACTCAGTATGAAACGTTCCACAATGAACCCAATGCATTGCTTACTGACGTAATTCAATGAAAATATTCTATGGAGCTCTAATTAGCTCAGATTAATAATGACTACGAGAACAGAAGATATTTCAGCGCATAGTAGGGAGTATGAAGCAAAACAGTACTCCAGATGCAGTGTATTTCGACCTACTTGCTTGCTATGTAAAAAGTACTCTCAATCAAGTAATTCCTAATACTAGCCTTGTATTCTCTCTAGGCGAAACTTAGGCCGAATGACATACGCGACTCTTACCATGTAGCAGTCAGCGCTGCAGTAATCATTTAGAGGAAGACGATATATGCAAGTCTTCGCAACGTGCCCCCTGCGTCATACATTGCAGAAGCTTGTGAGTTGTAACTCACCGCTACTACATTTGAAACTCACATTCCGACGTCTCTCTGCTAGTACTTGCACTCAGCCTAACAGGTAGGCACTGCTTCGCAATTGGGCGTCACACTTTGCAAATCCTTGCCGTAGTTGCATTAGCCCCCAACGCGTCCCTTCTCAGGCTCAGGATCTATTATAGCTTGGCTGCATTAAAAAGCTAAGCTAGGTAATGAATGACAACAACGAAGACGCCCAATGACACACACCACATACTGCCCTTGCGTTTTTTCAATCCTTGAGAGAATATAGATATGGTCTAGACCCAAGAGTTGTCCTTGTGACTGGTTGTATCTTGCATGAATGCCAAATACTAGTCTTTGTCTTGGACGCCTATACTGCACTGGGCGGGCTGAAATCTAACTTTGTGCAATCAGCCAAGTCCAGCGACAGCTCACCGAAAGGTCTAGAACCCAACCTCAGCTGCAGTGCTCATATGATTTAACAAATACTAAGTATGCAGTAACAGCAAACTGCATGGCTACCTCAGCTTGCATGCATATATTTGGACGCCTTTCTTGGGTATTTTTGAGATGGATCAGTCTGAAGTAGTTGCCTTATTGCTCAGCAAACCCTAGTGAACAAAACGACCTTGATATCAGAGCTGTAGTTTGATACCTGAAATGATGTCTAGAAATTGCACGTGGCCCAATGTTGTTGGGAGAAGAAAAAAGGTACATGAGTTGAACTGCAGGGGTGATTGGGCAAATAGCTCCGCTAGGTAGCCTTGCTTGTTTGTTGACTCTGCCAATGGTTGGGCGTAGTGTACCGTCGGGCTGAGAGTGTTACTGTGGGGAAGACATGAATCAGATATCAATATCGACGTATATGAAATAATGAATAAAATAATTTCGTGAGCTATATGTGATGGAGAGTTTCCATGTGATGCTAATTGAGGGCAACAAAGCCAAGAGCACGGTATTGTATTGAGAATGAAAGCACGTAGGGCGATCGGACAATGTATCTTACAATTTCAATTAGCTACGAGTGTAAATTTTGTTTACAATCATTGAGTTACCTAATTGCTCATATAATAAGGAAATTGTCGTGTCTATTGAGTTTCTTGGATGTACAAGCATGCATATTATGCGGCAGAAGTTGTTTGATATCAATAGATTAGCATCTCACATAGGATATATATATATTCATGAAGATAGAAAGGCAACTTTTTCGTAACCAAGTCACGGCCGAGTTATACTTGACAAGCGTAGAACACACCGTGCCGATTAGTGATTCGAGAGATGTGCCCAAATCATAGAAGATGGGATGAAAATTGGATGACATGATATGAAATGCCAAATTTGATTTGACTCTTGCAAGCATGGCCAAAATTTAGAAGTTATAGGAGTATGTTGTTCATAATCTACATATAATCTTTTATACGCTTATGAACAACTCATATCGACTCAAAGCTCGACCTATACGAATTGCTTTTTCTTACAAAGTTGATACTTCTAGCTAATAAAAGAGTAGCATCACAGATGACTGACAATATACACAATTACAACAGCATGATCAAATATAACGTTATTAATTGCCATCAACATAATTAAGTGATACGCCTCTTGGCTCAACTTTTGTTTCCAAGTCTTTCAACCATCATATCGTAAGTTTCCCTAAACAAACAACAGGCACATTCTGTCAACAGCGTAGATGTAAACGGCCCAGGCTGTCTGACTGAATCCCCTCTGCTATAGTTGCACTTGGTCCGCAAGCAATGCTTACTTCATCCTTCGACGCTGTATACGCTTTACCCACCAGTCTGTCGATTCATTTGAGAGCAAGTTGTAATCATGTCCACTTGGAGTCCACATCCTTGGCCGCCTTAGGCAGAATGTCAGAAAGGCAATCATTCACTAACCTGAATCGAGACAAAGTCCTACCATTCGTGAGGCTCACCAAGATTGCGGGAAAACGATAAACTACAGACGATTCTTAGTCGTGGAGTTCTCTCCACGGTGGATTATTCGCTATTATAATCGGCGGACAAATCGTGTGGTATTCGATACTACCACGTCTACTTCTTACTGCATGGATACCCAATATGCAAAGCTGACAACATTCGGCCATATCTCTATAATGATACTGCAAATGTTTTCCCAGATGGCAAATTCCCCTACACCGTATTTTTCCATCACGATGATTCAGCTACGATGGAAGAGCTAGATCCTAGAAAGACTGTTTCTACGACCATTTGAGTCTAGCTAGCCTCCTGAATGCCCATTAGGGCGACTTCAGCTCCAGCATCGGCCAAACTAGCCAAGGCAGCCATCTCAATATCACATATCATAGCTCGCAAGTGCTAAACGAGTCAAGTGCCCCCTGTATCAAATGACTGCTCAAGATGCCAACGCCGCCTCGCAGGCGTCAAAGGTCGCCTGATTTTTAGGTCTTGTAAGCCCGCATCCCACCTGAACTAGGTACAGTAAGAGACGTGGAAATGCTGACTGCAATTTTTAACCCTTCAAGCGAGACATGGAATCCTTATTTTTTTTTTCGGGCCACCCGGGGTGCTTTGACCTACTCAGCCACCTAATTACGACAAAAAAAAAATGCCACTATATGCGCTCAAAGAGGCATCCTGGAGCACGCCCCAAGTAAGGCAACAAGAAAGGCGGGAATCGAGTCAGCAGCGTGGCAAGAGGATGTGAAAAAAATGTTTGTCTTCTCAATTTCGATCCTAGTCATGACATGCTCAAGATTTGAAATCAAAGGGATAATGAGATTTCAAGATGGATCTGCTCAGCCAAGTAGACAGGATTGAGGCAGCTTTCGGGATGCTTACATGTATGGCGGTGAAAGTTGCCTTTTGTCTTGAAAGGCTGCATGTAATCGGCATATATGGTCTCGTGCCTAGATCTCTGGTGCATGTACTAGCTAGGTAGGCAGTTAGATCTAGATGACGTCAAAGGCATGTACATGTAAGCGGCACATACCTCTACTAAAAAGATGCAGAAAGAAGCTCCTTCATCCATTGGGCTCCGTACCAAGACACACTAATTACATTATTAGGCAGCCAAAGGCAAACTAACAGCCCAGCTGAACAGAGTTTGCCTCAAGACTAGTAGAATACGGGAGAAGCAATGTATGTTCAGCTGGCTGCCTCAATACTTTACCTGGGCGGCAATAGCAAGAGTCATGTAACCCGAAAGCTACGTATTGAGGCTGAGACCCGTAGCTTCCCGTCTCATCAGCTCTCATCTTTCGATACATTACGTGATACCGTAAAAGTGGCTGCAAGCATACCTTATATGTACCTAGGCACCCGACACACACTTCAAGCTGAGACAAATACAGACATGGCCGAGCCTGCCGCACGCAACGCCATCCCTGCGAGAGAAAAAGGCAACAAAGGCCTAGAGGGAATAAAGAAGATTCTCGACTCGTTCTCGATTATTCAACGGAACAAGTCGCTTCCCACAGCTCCTTCCATCGTGATACATCTGCAGAAAATCTCGTGTTCTTCCTCGAAATGGCTGCCCCACCACCTCTTCCCATGTACTTTGAGAACCTTTGCGCAAGGCAACCGAACTTGCAAAAAAAGGCAACCGCATTAGCGTACCCGCCCATCCGCACTGGCCCTGGGACAGGAACTCAAAGAACGTTCTCCGATCGTCCAACCAGGCAATCGATTGCGCGCAAACAGGCATTTGCGGATCGGTCCCCTTTTAGGCAGCACCGTGACAATATGGCCGATCTTGCCTGGCAGTTGTTTATGCAGCTACTTGCGTTCCAGGTAGTTCCACTGCAGCTTCTACTGCGGGAGGAGCTCTAAAACCGCTAAAAATAACTAGACACCATTTAGCTGAGCTGAGTTTACATTTGTTGCAGTTTGGCGTTACTTTCCCAAGATTTTCAGAAACGGCAGATTCAACGGCCCCCCCCTTGTGCCAAGACATGTTTTGTACTGTAAAGCTCCGTTTTACGCACATGCAAGCCACCGTGTGTGTGGCTGAATGTTGGCTCGGCCGCATGATGCCTGTTGCATTTGTTTTTTGATACCGAAACATCGGTTAGTTGATGGTATGAGGCATTTGAGTGACATACCATGGTGACAGTATCTTGCCCCTGCGTGGCCCAATTCCCCTCGTCCGAGGCCGGATGAGAGCTGTTATTATCCTGATTCTGTTCTAGATGATGCAGCCATTGGAAGTTTTCCCAAGAATTGAATTGGTCCATCCAGGTGATCTTTCAATGGCTCGGATGGTTGTACTATGTAGGGAATGTCAGACATGTCTCTCTTCAAGCCTTTCACAAAATCCCGCACCCACTTACTATTAGCTCTTTCAGAATGTCATGATACATCTACAAGACAAGTATGTAGGTGTGGCAGAAAGTTAGCCGGAAGCGTTCATCACTGCGTCGGCGAAAAGGTGGACGTGAGGGGAAAAGAGAGAAGCAGCCTCAGCCTGATTGCGGGGGTTCCATCCTTCCCTATATCAACGTTGATCATATATCATGAGTTGCCTCGCATAATGACTAGTATATATGAGGAATAGGTACATGTTCTGAGGACATTTTGATTCTACAAGTGTTGAGTTCTAGAAGCGTTGAGAGACTAAACTAGCAGTACATTACAAACTGCTGGGTACCCATCTGAACTTGTATACTTGCGTTTCGTGAATGCGCCTCATTATATTAAGACACCACACATGAAGAAGAACCATTTGCAATTGGTCAGCAAGATGCTAGGAACTGGACAAGGCTGCCACGCGGATTCCATGCCTATTTCAGTCCCCTTACTCCTCATTGGCCACGTGCAACCAGGAAGAGCACGACATGTCCCCATCGCCAATCAGATTTCAAAGCCGTGTAAACCTTGCTCACAGTCCATCTTGCAGAGTTGCACTCGTGCTAGTAGAGAAACTTTGATATTTGTTGATAGCATGTGAAAATACTTTATGAGATATGACAAGTAGAAGGAATCTATAGAACAAAGAAAAATAAATCCATCTAGTATTAGGCACTCTGGTTAATAGTGACAGGTGCATGTGTGAAATGTTGAATCCGTGATGATAATGTACACGAGTGAGGAATGTACAAAGGAAAAAAAGACTATATTGAATGAATGAAAGAAATCATCTGGGAGGTTAGCACTTATGTATCTATGTCTGCGTTGAGACCCAACGCTCCTGGCGCCAGTGAACCGAAATCAAAGGGCTATGCAAGTCGTCAAAAAGCACCAAAACGCCAATATATGCATGTGAAGCAAATATATGAGATTCAATCTCCATGATGAGAAGCATCAGGGCTGTGTGAACTAGCCCCTAGGTCTACAATCTCCTTGGCACCCATAAGTGGAGATCTAGCAGGGAAATCAATATCAAACTCCTCTGGTACAGTGAATTTGGCACTCTCTCCATCCCAGATGAGCCATCTCTTCAAAGAGGAAATCTGCTTTCCAATCCACAATATCCTTTCCTTCCTTGAATCTACCATAGAAGCTTGTTCAAAGTACTTCTCATCTTCTTCAACGGTTTCACCTGCAAACCATTTAAGTGGAAAGTATTCCTCCGTATATATCAAGCCTCGCATAGCATAATCTTCTGGTAGAGGCCGATAATGATCTTGGTTTTCTGCCCCAGGAAATACTTCGCTGTCCATGCGTGGTTCGAATTTGCATGATTGTTTCAGGTAATTCAGCATCGTTGCAATAAGCTTCCAGGGATACTTGTGCTCAATGAACTTTATAGCAGAAGGGAATTTAGATAAATGATGGAGGAATACCATCTGTGTATGAAGAAAGGGTAGTATATTCATATCCCCCCACCGACGGATAACTATGTCAAGAGTTTGCACCGCAAATGAGAGTGATTGATGAAAGGCGTGTGTAGGAATTGCTTCCGGAGCAATCGGTTCTCCTGCGATATCCATATCGTCAGATCGCTTAGGGGTAATGGCCATTTTCAGGACATTGGAATCATTGCCGAACCCAAAGAGAGAGCATGTTATTGAAATTCCCATATAATATCCTGCCTCTAGCCAGCTTTTGGTTGTCCGAGCAATATGGCCATCCAACAGGGTTAAAAATTGCTCAGCTGCAGGTGCTAGTTCATGCTTTTCCTTTCCAGAGAAAAAGATAGCCAGAATTCGCACAAAGGCAAGATCAATTAGCTCCAATCGAGGTGGGCTTGAGCTCAGCACAGGATCAAATAACGTCATGACGCTTTCCCTGGCACTTAAAAACGGGATAGGGACGCAAAGAGATTTCGTGTAGTAGTAGGTTTGCTGCAGGGCGTTGGGGCGAGCGAGGATGGCTAGGTGATGATAGAGACGCCCTGTAGTCGGTAGTTTATCCGAAGCCTTGGAGTACCAATATCGGGATACTGCTGTCCAGGTCTCCCGGTCTCGGATGTCGTCGTCTTCAATGGCCATGCGATATCTTCCCAGATCTCCGAGGCATTCAATCCATGTGTCTTCAAATGCAGGCACAGTCTCATACAGGAGGGCCATCATGCTGTAAGCGATGTAGATGAAAGTAAGCATATGCTCCAGAGACTGCGGCAGTCTATGCCTTAGAAGCTCGAGGAATGAGTGAATTCCATGCCGCCACATGCGAGCTGGCATCGCGTACTTTGAAGCTAGTCGCCGCAGCGCCGGGCTGGCGGAAGGATGTTGGCTAGCGAGGAAAAAATCGTGATGTTCGTGAAGCAGTGTGCGATGTAGGGCGATGAGAGCTTGCCACTGCTCATTATTGAGGGGTTGCGGGGAGTCTTTATTGGCTGATTGAGCGTTATCAACCTCAATACATTTGCTTTCGACCATGACAAGCCCGGCATATATACCCTTGACTTCGGCAACGAGCTGCTCTTGTGAGATTGGTCGAGTCTCTGGCTGGCGAATCATCTGCGACACTGAAGCATCTTCGGTGTACGATTCTTCCGGCTCTGCTTCTGCTTTTGGGCCTGGTTCTGATTCTGGTTCCTCCGCTTGTGGCTTTGACCATTGGCTAGAATGTTGTGTCTTTGCTTGAGCGGGCTTCAAGGCAGCACTGCCCGGATTCCAGAGCTGTCGATTACTAAGGCCCTTAGTCCCACGATCAAACTCCTTGTCATTTTCGGCTTGCTGCCTACGCCTGTGCCTCTGTGAAACTCGTGGTGTGGGCGAGTTACTAGGTGACCGCCTCTTCTTACTGTCCCTTTCATTATCAGAACCTTCTCTATCATGCAGATTCACATTATCAAGGTTCTGCTGGTCTTCTGATAAATCGTGGGCACCAGTTCCACCAGGTCTCTTCTTGGATCTCTTGGCTTGATCAACGTCTGAAAACTGAGGTCTTTTTGGGGGAAAAGAAAAGCTAGGTTAGTGTACGTCGATGCACAGTCCAGTAGTTGGCCAACTCACTGTACTCTGGAAGACGCAAGCTTCATCTTCTCGAGAGCATCCAAAATATCCTTCTCCTCTTTAGGATGGTGTTCAGGATCTTCGCGCACATGCTGCTCAAAGCCAGCCTTTGTCGGTGGCTTTATGTCTTGCTGGCAAAAGTCACAGGTGAGCTGCCGAGCTGTGCGCTGATAGTTCATCCAGTTTCTGGCAATGTCTAACTGGCGAGGCATGATAAAGGTATTCACAAAGTGATAACAAATAAGGTTGGTATCCGCAGCTATTGAGGCTGTTTCGTGCTAACCCATTGATAAGCGGTTCAATGATCGCGAGAATGCGTCGCGAGAGAACACGTCTTGTGAGAATGCCGCTTCGGCCGAGGCTGACGAGCTGAGAGAGGAGACTATTAAGGGCGCATCGGTTAGCGAACGCTCTAAGCTGCGATGTTGAGCCGTCATGGAGCAAAGTAAAGTGGCCGTGAATGGATGTCTGCAGAATGAAAAAAAATCCCGGCGTTGGAGTGAAGCTAAGTAGGTTGGGGGAGCCCCCCACATGATGTTAGATAGGTACAAGTGCGCTGCATCAGAGAGAGCCGCACTGGATCCGGCAACTCGCAGGGGTGGCGCTCCCTGTAGTGCAGCGCATGTAGCATGTAGGCCGCGAACCAGGTTAGCGGAGATGGTTGAGCCTCAAGGGCAGAGCCTCAGAGCCTCCCTGTATACACAGGTACACCAATATTGCACTCTCAAACGTAGACAACAGGAATTTGGGATGATTGAGCGAGCATAAAATAGTTTATATAGGAAATTTAGCAATACTGACCTAGCAGCCGAGATGGAAGGCGGAAATGGACAGAATAATGGATAGTGATGCCGACGGTGGCAACCCGTAGCGCTATAATATCATGGCAGAGTGTGGCTGTTGCATAAAGTCAGATAGATGTAATGGAATGAGGAGACACCTCCTTCTATATATACCTCAACTACCTCAACGCAGCCTTAAAAAATTAAAGAAAGCAATGGATAGCAAAAGAGAACCTTGAAGAGGTGGGACCAGCCCTCCCTTCGGCCAGCTAACATAAGGCTGGGCGCGCACACGATATCAGCCTCATTTACATCACTGCATGTACCTCACAAGACAGCGAGAATGTCTCGAGTCGTTGATTTGCTTTTCAAAATAAATTATCTACCCATGTATATTTCTACATATCACAATACATGTAGACTATTGTCGGATACAAACAAAGTCTTTCTACCGCGCACCAGCTTCATGTGCTAGTAGATAACAATGAGACTAGGCTTGAGTTTGCATCCTTGAGAGCACGGCTTGCATATGTCCACGTACCCAAGGCACCTGCCATGTACTGGTATCACAGTGTTGCGACCTGTTTCTCGCCTTGTTTAAATTTATGCCAATGATCCGCGTCTGCAGAGCCTCAATTTTCATGTAACTAAGCTGTCCCTACCGGGCCCCCCAATATCAGAGGTTTCTCTTCATGCTGCTTTCCCTACGTCTCACTGAATCTTCTCTATTGTCTTCAAAATGTTTCACGACATCGACCAAGTAGACAGCAGGTTCGACAAAGAAACTACTCTTCTTCTGCCTTGCTGATCAAGTGTGGTCTAGAACAACGTTGGCATACAATTCGCTGCAGCCATCCTCTCACAAGATGCTGCGTTCGCTCTCTTAAAAAGTACCATTTTGAGTGATATTTGTGATTCAATCTCACAATCTGCCCTCAATTGTACAACGTGATACGTACGGCGTTGCACGGCTGGCTGCCACGCTTTGCCTACCATATCATTCCAACGAAGCAAGACACTTGTCTGAGACAGCTACGTGGGCGACAATCTTGGATGCCTTGACGATCGCATCACGTCTTCGCCAAT